GATCCTTAACCGTCCGGATCTTACAATGCATACACAGCTTATTTTCAACGAGTGTGGCAGTCCTGCGCCGAAGGGCCTTTAGCATTCAGCAGCCCTCCATTCTTCCGTAGTTAGTTAACTATTCAAGTGTTTGACATACGAATTGCCAGCCTAACAAAATCTGTCGGGGGGAAACTGTCAGTTAGCACATTCTTATAACGCAGTCGTCATGTGTGGAAGGGACGGGCAAGCAGCTTCACCGTTCGGCAGGCAATTCGAAGTTGGTAGCACATAACATAGCAAGCTTCATCAGCTGCGTAATTGTGCAGAGGCTGCTGCTGTCACACCTTCATTTCGCTATTGATCTATGTGGTCAGCAATTCAGTCTGAGAGCAGTCATTCCCAACTTAAACGGTGGTCTGCACCAACAGATGCCGACGTCTGCGGTCTTTGTGACCTCTCGACTGTCCCGATTACTGCTGTTGTGTACGAGATAGATAGCGAGATAATGGGGGTTATTGCCATTGTGATTTCTGTTTAGTACGTGGAGGTTTACAGGTGCCTCCACTAGGTGGGTACGCATGGGACCCTGCCTGCACGTTTCCAAATCGTTTGGTAAAAAGGGACATTCTACAAATTAGACCTCGAATGACTCATGGAAACCCATCTGGGCGCTTTCCGCAGGGCACTTGAATCCCAAATATTCTGCCTGATTTCGAGGTAGCTTAGGGACGTTAAATTGAATGTTGAACACACGCAAACGCCCTAGTCTTTGAATTCAAATCACCTGATGGTGACAGTTTTGTCTGATTTTCAATAAATGAATGTCCTGGTGCAACTTTTGTTACCATTGAACCGACGTTGACGTGGAAATCAAGCAAGTGTGTTTCAATGTCCATGGTTGCTAATCTGGTCGGAACCGAGATCATAGGCTCGACCAGGAATGCTAACGGATAGGAGCCATAACGATTGTAGCAAAAGTTAACTGTTTCACTAAAGCACCCGGCATGATTCAACCTTCTCGTCCTTGATTCTAATGCTAACAGTCATCACAAGGGTCAGAATACCGGATCCAAACTGCGAAGTACTGAACAAAACGGTAACCCACTCACCGAAGTTCTCCATGCGGTACCGATGACACCATAGTGGTCAAACGTAGTGGTAGCCGTTCCGACAAAGGCCGCACCGAGACCCATATATGATAGGCCCCAGCCAAGCATAATTGGAGCGTTTGATCTGCTGCACTAACAAACCGGATTCCTCACTCAGGTTCCGCTTACTTACACTTTTAAAAATGCACCCCAAGTCCACTTCATCAGCCAGAAATAACAACACTTCTTCACACTTGAAGTGATCACATACATATACTATAATTACTACTGAGTACCAGCAGTCACGACTAGCGCCTGTCTGCTGATTCTTGTCATGCACTAGTCGCTGCTTGAAGCTGACAGCAGTGATTCAGTGACTGGTGGATCATACTCTTACCTTTCTGTTCAATTCATATGGTACCTTCCGGTTATACTATGGTCTCTATCCGTTGTTTCGGAAATTCTCTCTCAATCATTCAGTGTCTCTCTGCTCTCCATCACATTAACCTCCAGAATTTTGTGCATAAAGGAGATCATCTGTTTTTATTAGTTAGCCGAGCTAAAAACTAATGTTTTTTGTCGTCAGCCGTGCAAACCTCTCGAAAGGCTAGCCTCCCTACTGTATACATTGGCGGATAAACTCTCGTCTCTCTGGAAATTACACGACTACTCTTCTCTGGCCTGGTGCCTTCTGATCGACTAAAGTTCAGCGCAAAGACGACACGCAACCAATCGCACCAATGACAGTCACCAGCATTACCGTCTTAATGTACTACATACACACCTAATAAAAGCCTACCCATAAATGATTTGTTCTGTCTTCATACTGAAATCAGCAACCTCAGCTATTTCTTGGGTGCTTGTTCAAACAATAAAGGATCCACCACTTTGTAGGTTCAATTAACATGCTGTCATCCCATGTGAATTTAATTTGTTTCTGTTGGACGCCGTTGCGTTTATGCCTTCGGGCACTCACCGGACGCTACTGTTCTCATTATACCCGCTCATCGTCCCCCTTCTTCCCAAGCTTCGAACTCCAGCGAAAGCTACAGCATTCATTCGTTAATTTCGGCTGGTCACCAGATAGTCATTCATCTAGATGGAAAATATCCATGGCTCTCCATCGGCCTAGCGCTACATATGTTGATCCCCCCGTCTAACGAAACGAAATATGCAATTTGTCTCCGCAACGAATTCTTCCATGTCCATGTTCATTATTTCTTTTTGTGGCCCTGGCATTTACTCAACTATCCCAGGTTATTTGTGTCTAACAGCGATTTTTCAGTTTTAGTTTAGGTCAGTCAGGTTCATCATTGAACTAGCCATACCCCACGACCCACTGTTCGTACTTCCCGGTTCCCACAAATACGGTTATTTTTAACGTATTAAGCGCGTTTCGTCGGTTTTAACTTCCTGTACGTCGTTTTGTTGCCTGCCGCGGTTGGATCGTACCAACCCGATCATGCCTCGATTTGCACGTTCTTTACAGCTTGGAGATATTGCGATTAATATTCTTATTACTCTTTTACACGGCGGCATTGGAAACCCCTGGAAGCCTTCGGGAAGCGAGTCGGCACGGGAGCATTCTATCGACCATGGTTTTTATGAATGCATTGCGTTCATTCCCGTTTGCGCCAGCATTGCTTGCATCTCGTAACGCGCACGATATTTTTAATCCTGTATTACTACATTGGGGTCAGACATTGGGTCAGACTCCCGTCGCACGGCCGTCGGCAATATTTGTGCGTCGCAAATGGGCAAACTCGCACCCGTTCTTAGATCTTTGTACGCTAGCTTCATTCTTATTGCAGCTAAATTCGAAGGCATGGAACTAAAATGGAGTCAGTTACCGGAGAAATTCACGTAACCTCAGACCAGCCGGAAAACTGGCAAAACTTTCTCTCACTGGAAAAGCGGTCATTAATAAATTTGCCTTCGTTGCAGTAAAATATTTCATCGCCGCGTCGTTAAACCTTTCATATTCTTTCCTTTTTAATAATCTCTGTTCCGGCACATCATCCAAACTATAAGGAATCCCGCGCGAGAGTTGCACTTCCAACATAATGACTTGGTTATGGTCAGGTGGAAACGCATGAGGTTCCGACGAGACAGGTTGGTCCTTTCCAATTGAATTAGGCTAGTCTGTATAGTAAATGCCGCACAGTCAGGGTTGAGCGCAGACCGAGGATCATCAGTTATGATAAATAGTCAAGGCGGGTGACAACGCATGTGGTTATGAAGACACAGGCACATTGTTGGTCACCGGATGATGGTAACAATTTTGAAAGTTTTTCTTTGCTTGACAGGGTGACCGAGAAAAATTTGCTGTATATATTGCATCCAGGAAGATTACCCAGCTAAACATTATGAAGCCGTGTGCAGCGATTCGGAGGGGCCACTAAATTTCTGCGCGTATCTGTGATTATGCATTATTAAGGGAGATGAAACGTTGTGTCACTATCGCGCAATACGCCGAGTTATCTTTGAACATTATGCTCATCTGATGGTAGGTGCCACAAACACCAGTGTCGTGAAGGGTATCTGTGAACAAATTTAGCCATCTATTACACTTGGAGGGGACTCCTTGGTCGCACAATGCTCTTAGCTGCAACACCTTTGCAAGCGGAGTGAGACCTTTTACGTTAAAATGCTGCACTTTGTTGTGTATATGCTCAAACGGAAAACCACTCCAATCTAAAACCGTATTTTTGAAGCTCACCGAATTTCATCGTACACTAAAGCAATGATGCCTCTGGCGGAAAAATGTTGGTGGAATATTTTTTAGCGTCACCGGGGCTCCGAGACGTCTAGGTTTGGACTGGTATTCTGAACTCAATTGCCTGTCTGCTTTAGTCCATCAGGGACACGTGGTAGCCTTCGGAAATTCAATTCGATTGTGCGAATACTGAGCGCCCATTTGGAGAGTGGATTGGACCCAAACACGATCCGAGAGTCCAGCTGGACAGCGTATGCGTTGAGAATTGTGTGCAGATTATCGTGCATATTAGTCTAGCCACGCACTGTTAAACTTTGCAGTCTTCCCTTATTGACAAAATACTATTCACACTGGAATCGGCGGTATTTGGCGGCCCTGGAATTGTACTCACTTGGAAAAACGCAACCAGCTGCATATCACTGAAATGCGCAGTCAAACTAGATTGATCTATGTAAAATTTCTACTTGAAAGTTCCATTTGCCCCTGTCGATTGGTGTAAAACGTGTCGTAGCAACTTAGAGAGGGCGAATTCGTGCAACCGAGGTTGTGGAAGCACTGCTGGTGTGCCGGCGGCTTGGGTGTGACAGTACCGTCCTGACCACACATAACTTCCTAGATTTACACGTAACGAACGTTACGTTTAAGGGAGCCTAGAAATCTCGGTTTATAGAATGGACTAATTGGCCAATTGTACAAACCAAGGTCGGCCAACGGGCCGAAAGCCACGTAGTCAGCAGTGCGGCAGGCACACTATGGCATCACTAAAGGCTAGTGGTTCTTCGAAGGTGGGTGTTCGCGGCCATTTATGTGGGTGGAAAACAGAGGGAAAGCCAGCGAACTGAAGCCTGTCAAGCATAGCTGCGCATCACAGATACATATAAATAGGCCAAAATGGCAGACACTGTATACTACAGAAGCCAAAACGGGTGGACACTTTCTACGGCCAACAATGGAGGAGTAGATAAAAATGTTCGGACCCAAAACCCGATGTGATAGTAGTATAAGTAAAAAGTGTGCGGGCAGCATAAGATTCGTCCAACGTAACGCCTTCCTTCTTTTAATGAGCCCCAACACGGCTCAAGGTCGCACGAGTTTGGCGTAACTATGAATGCCCAAAGTAACCGCCAATGTAGATGATTTCGTAAAGTGCGGAACCACCGTAAATCAGAAATCCGCAAATGGAACATACGAAAACAAGCCACCATTCTGGACCACGCTCCAAAAAACAAGAACGTCTTGCACAAATACATGAGACATCGCCGCATAAACAAGCCAGCCGCATGCTCCTTGAGGGACAGAAACGGAGAACCGACGAATGACCCAGCAGTGGTATCTGAGGTTTACAGGGAACAATATGTGTGTCTATACTCAGCCCAAACGTCTTCGTTACACCAACTCTTGTCAAGGCGGAACTACGAACATCCTCTAACCGACTTGGTCTTCACGGTGGAAAATGGTTTTCTTCCAGTGGCGCTGTTGGAATACCCAGTGCACTCTCTGAGTATTCCTGCTTCGTCTTCAGGCAACTTCGGCAATTTGTGGCCACCTGCGAGCCTCTTTTTTAGACTGGACAACTGGAATAGACAAATTATGAACTACGAGTGCTCTATCAATCCCTGTCGACTGACTGTCATCCATCCATGAAGCCATTGGTTTCGGACGTGCATCCCATTTGATCCCACTTCATTGCCGTTTTGTCGTTTTGGTGTGCTGGAAGCCGACTTCCTCAAGTTAGGGCGGGAATCCCCTCCGACTTTGAGGTTGTTCCCTTCTTCGTTTACGGGTATCGACGCATGTAACAAACTGTGGTGTCAACCCCTACAACATGACTGACGGCAGCTTGGATCTTGTGTTCAAAAAATCTAAATCAGTTAACGTTGAATCACGGTCAGTCATCAATATTCTGTATGTCGCGCAAGCCTACTTGTGCTGCAGGGCTTATGGAAGATAATACACGATTCTACAACAACAAGCGAACAAAACCTCATTACTTCTGATTTTTATACCCAAGCCTGACAGACTTGCCTGTTTCAGTGGTCTGTCATGCCGATTCGAAAAAGTTTTCAAGTAGAATGCGATCGATAATATGACGCTAACCAGAAGGATTGTGCGGAGTTTCTCGAGCCATGCGGTATGCTACCACCAAAACGGCTGCCTTTGCGTTGCCTTGACAATCCCGGTCTAAATACTGGAGACTACGACCGGCGTCTTCAACCTTGTCCTCAATATGTATCTCAAACTGGCGCATGAGCCTCAAGAATTGACTAATACTATCATCAACAATTTACTATCTACGAGGCTTGATGGCCCGCTACTGTGATGGTTCACTTGTCTCACTGGAAAAACCCAGGTCAACAAAATCAACGATCTCTCCTCATCACCCCTTCTC